AACATCCAAAACCCAGCGGGATGGCTGCGCACAAAATAGATGCGACGGAATTTGAAGACAACCACCGTGCAGTTCACTGTGCAGGACACCTTGCCGATGTCTGTAGAATTCGGGGGCAGAACGGAAGCGGACACGCAGAAGATGTTGATGCACTGCAGGAGAGCGGCCAAACACAGAGCCTGGCCGAGACGGGGAATCCCCGTGGAACTGACTTGGATGACTGCTGATCCCCAGGCTCACCTGGAGCATCCTGAAAAAAAGGCGTTGCCAGCAGACAGAGGAGATGGGGATACGACCAGCAGATAAAAGAACGGGTGAGGAGGACGCCTCGACGTCTCGACCATGCTCATGGCAAGCATGGGGGAACAGCTAGGAGCAACAGGAGAGGTTTTGGCCACGATGGAACTGGAAGCATATACGGCGGCACACGACTTCTTCAGAAAGTTAGACAGCCCAGGACCTGATGCAAATGTAAGTGGAGGAAGAGATGGAGGACAAGATTAATTTCAACTACGACTGGCCGACTTACTTCTGTTGTGCCGCGAAGTTGAGACGACACCACTGGCGTGGCACAGGTCGGCTTCCTTCGATGCAGAAAAGAAGGACGGGAAGGAAGGGATTGGTGGGGAAAGGGTCACGCATGCATACGACTCAACGGGGATGGTCTGGCTTTAAGGCATACATAAGAGAGGTCCGCAGCCAGACCACCCCGCATGGGCACATGGAGGGCTAGTAGTCAGGAACAGAGAGATCGAAGTATTACCGTAGCACCCCGCAGATGCGGATAAGAGTGAGGGAGCGGTGGGGACGTCGGCAGTCTGCGAGACTCTGGAGAAACCCGCCACCAGCGCCAAACTTTCACAAATTATACAACGAGCCCGCCGCAGGCGCCGATTTTTCGTTCAACCAATGTGAATAGGTCGCGGGTGGATCGCAGGTGGGTCGAAGATGGGTCGCGGATGGGTCGCGGTGGGTCGCTGTTGGGTCGCGGGTGGGTCGCGGGCGGGTCGCGGGTGGGTCGCGGGATGGGTCGCGGGTGGGTGGCAAGTGGGTCGCGGGTGGGTCGCGGGTGGGTCGCGGATGGGTCGCGGGTGGGTGGCAAGTGGGTCGCGGGTGGGTCGCGGGTGGGTCGCGGATGGGTCGCGGGGTGGGTCGCGAGTGGGTCGCGGGGTGGGTCGCGGGCGGGTCACGGGTGGGGTCGCAGAGTGGGCCGCGGGGTGGGTCGCGGGGTGGGTCGCGGGGTGGGTCGCGGGTGGCTCGCGGGTGGGGCGACGACAACAAGAAACAACAACAACAACAACAACAACAACAACAACAACAACAACAACAATCATTTAAGACTGGGGACACTCCGTTCTCACCAGTGCCAGGGTTTTCATAGGAGGCGGGCAATACCCCCACTTTGTGGGGGGGCCGGTTCAAGCTCTACCAAGTTTCCAAACGACTCTTCGCCACCACCCACACCCAGCTTCCCGCCCTATGACGTTCGGACACTTCACTTCGTGGCCTGCGGACGACCTTGGCTACTACACTGGCGCATGGTTACAATGACTTCTTGTGGTAACATCTTGTGGAAACTAGCTTAGTATACGACTTATACCCCTGTTCCAACAATGGGCACGTGTACCGTTTTATTCTCGGCGGCCGAGGGCGCAACCTATGGCGCAACCGCAAGGGATTATGGCCCCTGGCAGGCGCGCGAACCCCGTTGCAAGAGCGTGCGAAAGTAGCTCGCGCGAGCTCATGTAACATAAATGTTGGAAAACCATTGGTTTTTTAGGATTCGGACAGCGCGCGCGGGTGGAAATTTTGAAAAGTCGTGCAGGTGTTTTTCGAGGACCTACGGTGCGATTCGTGTGATTTTATGATGCGCGGTGCTAAAATTCTTAAGAACCCAATGGTTTTTGGAGATTTCGGCGTGCGCGCGCGAAGAAAAAACGAATGTGTCCCGCATGGTATTATTTGACAGGGATGATGGCCCTGGCAGGTGCGCAACCGTTGTCGCAGAAGTTCGAAAAAGTTGCTCGCAAAAGCCCGTTTGACAGAAATGTTTAAAAAGTGTTGGGTTTCCTACGAATCCGCAAGAGCGCGCGGGATGAGATTTTGACATTTTTTTGTTGAAAAACCATTGGTTTTTTGATGTTTTTATGTTAAAATCGCTCCGAACACTAAGCTTTTGGAAGGATTTCGTCTTGCGCGCGCGAATGTCCACTTTACCTTATTTTTTGCAAGGGATTCTTGAAATTTGATTATATTAGAACAAGAAATGTCATTTTATAGTGTTTTTTGCAAGGGAAAACGGATTACAACAAAACAACCGGATCTGGATCACATCGTTTTACCTGAGGCTTCCTCACGAAAATGATGAAAATGTGGCTGCGGCCTAGGCGCGGCGAGGGGGGCGTGCACCAGGGGGCCCAACAATAATTATTCTTTAGAAGTAATAATATTCAACAACAGCAACAACAACAACAACAACAACCGCAACAACGCAACAAGCATAATCCTCACCACGGATCCAAACTTCAGCCACCCACCCAGGGACAATGCATGACCGTTGGGCCCCTTCACTCTTGTGTCTTCTTGCAACGAAATTGGAGCGCCACAGCACGGAGTAATTACCTATACGATCACCCTTCGGGTGATGAGGAGATTCGGAGGGGGAAGAACCAACGCCTCACTCAATCGATATCACTATCGATCTCACTATTGATTTCACGATCGATCTTACCGTCCATCATTCTATCAACCTCACTGTCGATCTCACTTATCGATGTCACTGTCGATCTCACTTATCGATGTCACGATCGATCTCACTATCGGCCTCACTATCGGTCTCGCTATCGATCTCACTATCGATCTCACTACGGGACAACAGCGGGACACCGACGGGACACCGACGGGACACCGACGGGACAGCGACAGGACACCGACGGGACAGCGACAGGACAGCGACGGGACAACGACGGGACGCCGACGAGACACTGACGGGACACCGACGGGACAAACAACAGGACACCACGGCGGGACAAACCGGCCACCGCCCGCCCACCAGTGGAGGTGCGGACAATTGTCTTGCCCCGCTCTAGCAATAGCGGAGTCATTCCCCTCACCCGCCCGCGCAGCTTCGCCTCGCCCGAACGAACGAACACAAACCCGAAACCGAACCATCATCATCAGCAGCATCATCACCATGATCATGATCATGATCATCATCATCATCATCATCATCATCATCATCAGCATCATCATCATCATCATCATCATCATCATCATCATCATCATCATCATCATCCTCAACTCATCGTCATCATCATCGTCATCATCATCATCGTCATCATCATCATCATCATCATCATCATCATCATCATGATCCTTATCATCAGCATCCTCATCCTCGTCCTAATCCGCATCCTCCTCCTCATACTCCTCCCCCTCCTCCTCCTCCTCATCATCATCATCATCATCATCATGATCAGCATCATCAGTGCCGTCGTCGGCATCATCATCATCATAATCATTGTCATCATCAACCTGCTCGTCCTCGTCGTCAGCATAATGATCGTCATCACCATCATCATCATCATCATCAGCAGCAGCAGCAGCATAATCATCATCAGCATAATGATCATCAGCAGTAGCAGCGGCATCATCACCACCCAACAGTTACTGATCCTCCTCATGCCTTTGCTCCCCGGCCTGTTCCCCTCTCATCCTCCTCCTCCTCATCATCACCACCAACAATCATCATCGCCATCCTCATCGTTATCATCATAATCATCATCACCATCACCATCATCAACAGCATCATCAGCATCAGCAGCAGCATCATGAACATCATCATCAGCATCATCATCAGCATCAGCATCGTTGTCGTCGTCGCCATCGTCGTCATCCTCATCCTCATCGGCATCCTCCCCGTCCTTACTTGTCCTCCTCCTCCTCCTCATCATCATCAGCATCATCATCATCATCATCATCAGCATCATCATCAGCATCATGAGCATGTTCATCATCATCACCACCACCATCACCACCACCATCATTATCAGCACCAACAGCATCATCATCATCATCATCATCAGCAGCAGCAGCATCATCGTCACCATCATGATCATGATCCTGCACAGCATCATCATCACCATCATCACCATCATCGTCACCAGTATCATCCTTATCATCAACACCACCATCATCATGATCATCATCATCATCATCATCATCATCGTCATCATCATCACCATCATCGTCGTCCTCGTCCTCGTCCTCCATGTCCTCCTCCTCATCATCATCATCATCCACATCAGCATCTGTACCATCATCATCATCATCATCATCATCATCATCATCATCATCATCATCATCATCAATATTACCATTATCATTCCATCCTCGTCCTCATCCTCCTTGTCCTCCTTCTCCTCATTATCATCAACAGCCTCGTCAGTACCATCATCATCATCACCATCATTATTATCATCGTCACCATCATGATCATGATCCTGATCATCATCATCATCATCATCATCATCATCATCATCATCATCATCATCATCAGCATCATCACCATCAGCATCATGAGCATGTTCATCATCATCACCACCACCATCACCACCACCATCATCAGCACCAACAGCATCATCGTCATCATCATCATCATCATCATCATCATTGTCATCAGCATCAGCATCAGCATCAGCATCATCAGCAGCAGCATCATCATCCTCATCAGCAGCAGCATCAGCATCAGCATCAGCATCAGCATCAGCATTAGCATCAGCATCAGCATCAGCATCAGCATCAGCATCAGCATCAGCATCAGCATCATCATCATCATCATCATCATCATCATCATCATCATCATCATCATCATCATCATCATCATCATCATCATCATCATCATCCCTCTCCTGCCCCTGGTCTTCCCCTCCTCCTCCCACTCCCCCATCAGGCCGCCTGAGGCCGTGGCTGCTCTCCTCCGCTCTCCGCGCGGGAAACATCTACATGGACGGCCTGGGCTGCGCCGCCGCGCGGCCCTACCTTCCCCCCGCCCTCCTGGCAGGCCCCCCCAGCCTCCTGAGAGGCGGCCTGTGCTGCGGACGTGCTCCTCTTCCTCCTCGTTCTCGCCTCCCTCGCCCTCGCCCTGATCCGTCTCCCCGTGCCCCCTGCGCCTCCTCGTGCGCCTCCGGCGGGTCGCGGGCAAGTTCAAGTTGTAAATGCAAACAGTTTCTGGAAAACCCAAAAAGGAAAAATACAAACCAATCAAAATAGATTTTGTCCGGGAAAGAACTCTGGCCCCCAAGGCGCGATCCGTGTGAGTGGGGGGGCAAAATTGGCCTCTGGACGCCGGCTCCCCTGGCAACCAGGCGGCCAACCAACCAGCGAACTAATCAGCCAGCCAGGCCTTCCGGGTGCATTTTATGAGGCTGGGCCCCGGTTTCATTTTCTGGATCTGGAATGACCGCGGGCCCGGCGAAGAGAGGAGTGCGACGGAATGGGATGCAATGCAACGGACGAAGTGGAACGGAAGGGAGGAGTGGATGAAATGGAATGGAGTGGAATGGAATGGAATGGATGAAGACGCGCGCGGAGGGGCGAGCGGGCGGGCGGGCGGGCGCACTGTGTTGTGTTGCGTTGCGCTGCGCTGCGTTGCATTGCATTGCATGGCATGGCATGGCATTGCATTATGTTTCGCTGCATTGCGTTACGCTGCGTTGCACGTGCATTGCACTTGCAGCGGGGGGGGGGACGAGGGTGGGGGTGACTTGGGCGGAGCACGGGGGGGGAATCCAAAAGCCACCCCCTCCACCCCCGCAACTGGGGGACGAGTTTCATCAAGAAGTTCTCGATGAAGCCGCCGCTGGGAATATACGAAGCAGACATCGTGGACGCGTCGGGGCAGATGCAGGTCCTCGTCGACGAGGGCGCTGCGCAGGGGCGACGCTTGTGAGGAGGCCCACAGGGTCCAGCTCCTGTCCATCTCCTGATGCTCTGCCTCCTCCTCCTATTCCTCCTCCTCCCTCGCTCCCTCCTCCCATCATCATCAGAATCCTCCTCTTCCTCCTCATCCCAATCATCATCACCATCACCATCACCATCACCATCACCATCACCATCACCATCATCATCATCATCATCATCATCATCATCATCATCATCAGCATCATCATCATCATCATCATCAGCATCATCAACACCATCCTCCCCAGCCCGTGTTTCTCCCTCCCACTCCTCCTCCGCCTCCACCTCCTCCTGTTGCTCCTCCATCGCCATATCGTCCCCTTCCTCACCGCTTCCCCTCCACACAATGTCGTCTTCCTCTTCTTCCTCAGCACCTTCATCATCCTCACCATCCTCCTTCCCCCCCACGCTCTGGAAAAATATCTTTAAAGGAAACCACGTCTCAGTCTGGCCGCATCCAGAGTTGAACCATTCATTACCGTCCCCTCCTCTCCCCTTCATCCGCCCTCCCTCTATCCCTCGGTGTCCCTCCCCTTCACTTCCCTAATACCTTCTGTTTTACGTACCCTCCTCCCTCCCATCTTTCTCCCCCTCGTGCTTTTCCTCGTGCTCCTTCTCCCTCTCATCACCCCCATCATGTATTCATGATATCCCACCTCCTCCTCATCTTCCTCCGCCTGACCCTTGTCCGCATCTTTACCCTGCAGACTCCTCCGGTATCCACCTCCTGTCCCCCCCCCCCATCCTCCACCCACTCACCCTCCCTCTTCCCTCCTCCGCCTCCGCCTACCACTCCTCCGTGTAACAAGCATCCGCACCCTCCTCCCCCTCCGGGCTGGCGCCCAACCACCACCAAAGTGAGAAGGGCCTGGGCATCTCCTTGCCGTCACCGTGGAGTGGGAGACATCCGACCACAGAGCGGCCCCTTTACTAAGGGCCAAAGGGCTTGGCCGTTTTTGCGTGCGGCAGGGGGACGGCGCGCGTGGCGAACTTCAGCCGCGAGATCTCCGGGGCGCCTGCGCCTCCTGGTTACCCATTCGACCGCGATACAGTGCAGTTTTTAACACATCGGATTTTGTAAATATAGGATTCGCAATACATGTTTGATTGATGAATAAATTTATGCGTGAACTCATCGTTGTTTTTCATACTAAATCCTTGCATTTGTAATACATGATCCGCACGCGGAGCATGTATCAGAAACGGCACTGTACGGCAGGTTCGGGTCGTGCCGACCCCAGCGTTGGTTTTTGACACCGCAGGGATCGTTCAACCTTGAACGATCGGCCGCTACCGCAACGCCCGATCGTTCAACTTCGATCGATTCTGTTGGCGGCGGCGTTCAACCTTGAACGCCCGCGCTGGGGTCGCCGCTGGTCGACACGGCGCAAACCTACCGTACCCATTCGACCGCGATACTCCCCAGCGGCACGCCTCCCAACGCCTCCCCTGCTCCTGCTATGCGCTACGCGCACCCACGCCCGCCCCTCGTGCGACTCCTCCTCTCCCCACCTCTCCTGATCCTCGTCCTCCGCGTCC